GAATTACAACAGTTTGCATATGTGCCTCCCACTTGTTAAGGGACCAAAAGTAATGGGACATACTTTCTACTTTCTACACACAAAAGATACTCTTCTTCACCTTATGTTAACATTGCTTTTGAGGAATGAGTAGATAACTGATTTTTAAAAAATAGTTTTCAGAAATCAAACAGTATAAACACACAGCAAATAGCTTTCAATAAATCATTTTTCCAACTGGGCAAGCCGTCCAAGTCCTAAACATTTAAACACCCATTTGAAATCTTCAAACTAAACAATCCTGTGACATTGTTTTGTAATGTACTATGCATTGGTATGCTATTTTGTAATTCCCTTTTCAGGAATTATTCTGAGTTTGAAGTCTCAAGAGTCAGGGTTCAAGCTTGCTATGAGTGGTAGTCAGAATATCCTTATATGAATGGAAAATAATTCTGCACGTGCAAAGTCAACACTTTTATGAAAACTTACACAATATTGGATGGTAACTGCTCTGTTTTACAGCTGTTTTCTCCTGGAATATCAATCTAGGAAGGAGATAATAGAAATGTTTAACTATTTCATCTACATACTCCAAGTAGTTATTTTTTAAAAAATTATTAGGGCTACATCCCTGCTTCAAAGTCCAAAAGAAAAAAAGATTTGGAGTGCAAGAAGGCACTCAAGTGGCTCTCACGTAGCAAGGAGCTGCAGCTCTTTAAACCAAATACATATTTACCCTGGATTGCACTGCAGTTTCAGAAGGCAGCTGTGCAAACCAATGTAAAGAAGCAGCTGCTTTAAAGAGTGCACAGTGGTGTGAGAACATCCCTGTGCACTTCAAAGCATCTTTTGGCCTTTGAATCCAAACAGCAGACCTAATTTTTATAAAACTTGCTTGGTCAAACTGCAGTTCTAACTATATCTCTTCATGTGGAAACACTGAACAGTTACAATAATTCAGTAAAACGTCTGCTTTGTTGTCATTCTTCAGTCAGTATACTGGAACATGCATCATAGTCGTACTTCTTTCTTATTTTTATTTCTTGGCCCTAACTGCAAATTTCATGCTAACAATCCTCTCTTGACTGCTCATATAATGACTAAAATCAAGACGATTTGTAATTATATGTTGTTGCCTTTGCTTTCTGCTCCTAATTGACACTGCAATCTATTATGTATTTTTTCACATCACAGTGGTTAGCATTGCTATTCAAACATTGTACATTTCAGGACTCTGATTTTTTACATCTCACCACTGAAAAATATATGTCTCAAATTCTACCATTTTATTCATACAAAAGAAGAAATTTAAGAATCTGATTGTAATAATACATTACCCAGAGTCTCTAGTGCAACACTTTCAATGTTTTGTACTTGCTGGAGAGCCCCACTGCTGTCCCTGACAGCAGGAACTCCAGATAACTACAGTCTTGAAAACACTGTGGCCAGGGTAAAAGAAAAAGAAAAAGAAAAAAATGTTCTACAAATGTTGCAGCTTTTTGTGAGAAATTCTGGGAAAGCTTGGACCAAGTCAGCTGAAAAATTAAAATGACAACTGAGTGTGGGGGACAATATCAAGGAAAAAGCATTTCAAAGACTTCACTTTAATTAACTCACTATAATGGAAGCTGAAAATTCCTATTAGTTTCCAAAATTCTCTATTTACACCAGACTAACACTGAAGATACCTTAGTGAAATCCATGTTATTCTTGCTTCTGTAATCATGTCAGCTATGTGGGGTTTGACATTTTTGCACTATCATCAAGGATAGCATCACATGGAACTTGAAGCAATGATTTAGTTGAAAGATTGTTAGTGCTATGTCAGTGGGAGCAGAGTTAATGGTACCAACTGAAACTGAGCATAGGTACTTCTCACCTGTACCTCTAGTGAATCTTTCAGTCAGGAACAGCCCCCAAAACTCACTCACTCTGTCTTTTTTCCTCTCTCTCTCTTCCTTTGGAAAAATGCTACTCCCATCCAGAAGAGCCATCTTGACAGTTCTGGACCTGTATACCAATATGTCATAAAGCCCATTTCTAGCTCCAGGCAACTACCAAGGGAGGAACATCTGCATACTGATGACACTGCACTCTAAATCTCTGGATGATCACAGATCAAACAGTATCCCTTAAAAGCCATTTAATTTTTCATGACTTTTCTGAACATTACAAAATTCCATTGATGAGTCACTCACATGTGGTTATAATATTGAAATTGAGCCATGGAAAATAATATCAGATACACCAAGAAGAAATCCAAAAGCAAAACTGCTGTGGTGATATACTGCATTACATAGCCTGGTTAATTTATGAGCACACTTGAATTAAGTAAAGGATATGTTCTCACTTAATTTCAAATTATCATGAAAATGAAAACCATAATGAGCAAGTCAGCTGCAAGTTTAAATAGATCTGCTGCATCTCACAAAGAAGTTGATATCTGCTTTGTGCACTCAAGCAAGATTTATCTACATGATATGCTCAATAAAATGCTCAGGGGAAAAATTAAATTAGAACTCAAATGTGAACCCAGATGGAATGCACAGTATTTCACTTGAAGTGGCCTACTTACAATAACTTTGACAAAGCTAGCAGGAAAAATCCCAGTGCGATTCTTGCATTTTCCTCTGTACCACTCATCATCTATTTTTTCCAGAAGAAAAACAGTCTCTCCAGTACTAAGGTCCAAATCATCAGTATGGTCTATGGAGAAATAAAAATTAAAACTGATTTTGTTGATGGCTGATTTATCAAATAAAAAGTAAAATCTCACTCAAGCTGAGCTCAGTTTCTGGGAGCTACATTACATAAATATAGGCCAGAGGAACAGGCAGCTAACAGCATAAAAGGTCATTGCTCTAATAAGCTTTGCTAAGGAGTACAAAAAGACAGAGATGAGACTCTTTGTGGAGAAGAAAGCAACCTAAGTAGAAAGACCAAAGAAAAAATGGAACTGAAATAATTGAATACAGAGGCTTCAGGCATCTGCTAACATTCTCTCCCCACTGCCCCACCACCCAGGAATATCCCAGAAGCACTCCTGAAGAAAGGCTTCTGAATTTAGACATTAACAACTAATAAGCCTTAAGATCAGGATGACCAAGAGATTCAAATTCTATCATATCAGCTATACTTCAGACAGTAAGCCAAAGTATATTAAGAATCGTTCAAAAACCAAAACTGTATTTCCATTTACTCTGTTGTCACTTCTTACCTGCTATGAAATTATGCAGCACTATCGCATGAGGAACGCTTGAATCACTAATCTTCCGCAGATTAGCTGAATCCTTAAAAACACATATATTTGGAAATTATTATAACTGATATTCTATAATTTCTTGAGTCACTGAACTGTTATTTGGAACATCCACTGCCGAGTAAAATACTCTCTTCACTGATTTCAAATGCAAAATGCAACATCCCCTAAAGCTACAGGGAGTCAATCTGGATTTTAATACAGCCTATCTCATTGAAAATTAGAAGTCTTAAAGTCAATATAGTGCATGCATCAGCAAAACGAAAATCACCTTTGCATGATCTGCTTTGTGTACTTTAAATTAAATATTTCCAAGTAAGATTTCTTCCTTCTCGTTTGGGATATTTTCTAATTCTTCGAGATGCTAATTTTATAACACTAACAGTGAATCCTTTTCATAGTAGATACTGTTCCAAAACACAACATCTTTTTGGAAGATGTTTTGTTTGTTCATTTCATATGCCACCTCAATCATCCTAGGGACTCTTATTAAATCTTAGATGGAGTCCACCATGATAAAATACTTAACAGCTGCTTACTATGCTGGGAAAATTATATTTGGGATTGGGATGTACCAAATGCACTCCAGGCAGTACTGTATGCCTAGAATAATGTTTAATTATTGAAATTCATACCTGTTGTTTGCTTTTCACACCCAGTGGAGTTATTATCTGCATTTGGGATAACTGAACTTTCCCAGTTTCTTCTTCATTTTGGCATTTCTATGCAGCTATTCTCAACCTGATCCATCAGAACAAGTACATCTCCACACTTTAAAGTTACAAAAAGTTAGCATACTACATGTACATATATATATATATATATATCCATAGATTTAAGAATCAGGATTACCTTGCAAGAGAGATGTCCAGCATTTTGAGAAGAAATTTCTTCCTTAGCAATTCCATGAGGCATAGGAAGCTTAAAACAAATTATTTGTATTTTAGTGAAAAATAACTTCTGACAATCTAATATACATTTTCATGCTTTATTATTTATCATGAAGAAAACTTATTCAAATATTACATGTCATTTTCTTTTCTTGCGTTCATTTTGGGGATCCAAATGAACTATGGCACTGTTGCCCATTTAATCCTACAACTAGTTAATTCCAGTTTTTTGGTCATAAAATGAGAGATCCCTGGTTTGAAACTTCAAGGTTGCCATATTCCTTTTAGTTCCATAGGTGAACAGTTGTTTGTGGATAATTGCTGACAGCAAACACTCCACACTGACTCAGTTACCTTGTTACTTGATAAGTTTCAAGCATTGATATTTTCCCAAACAGCTACATTGTTAGTTCTGATTTAAATTAAACTTTGCTCAACTCCTAAAGATATAGACTGATTCATTTTATAGCAGGAAAAGGCAAACTGTTTGCTGTGGGGACCACACTTGGGTTTTGTTCCCTTCCTGGGTTGTTCAAGGGTCATGTTAGTATGTCATGACAAATCAACCTGATTGGTTTTCTTAGGGAAGGTTTCATTTTTAAAAAAAATGATGTAAAGAGTGCCCTAGGCCTGTGCAAGGCTTAAGGCACCAATTTTTTCAATTAACCCATCCAAACTACCTGCCAAAACAGTTCCTCCCTGTCTAAAACTTTCAGATGTATCTGTGTCAAAATATCCCCAAGTTGGGGGAAGAGGCACCCAAATATCTGGAGGTACCTATTATAGGTCTATGCAGACTAGTAGACAGGAGGAACCTACCTGCTATTCCACCAAAATGACATTAAATTCTATACCCCAAAAGGGAGAAAAATGGTGGGAAAATCTAGAAAGCCACCAGAAGTGATGTCTGGAAACATGACATATTTGCTGAACTTTTATACAGTTTAAAATCAGTCTACCTGTTCTTTTAAATAAGAAATGTGCAAAGTCACATCTCTCTCTGGTGAAACCAAAATACATTAACCTTCTCACCATGTATTTATTGTATAGAGGATGACCTGGCTTGGGTCGAGGGGGTAAAGCTGAGCCATGATTTTTTAAAATGTCACTCTTCGTTTTCTTGATTCCTAATCCAAGCATGCTAGGTTTCTTATGGAGTGTCACATCAGATGATGAGCGTGGAAATCTATCAGTATGTGATGATATTTTAGTAGATTTTGGTGGTGGTGGTCTTCCTGGGGCACCTTTAAGTGGAGAAGGTTGAGCAGGTATGATTTTCCCCTTAATGGGTCTAGAAATTATGAAGAAAGCATAGTATTAGAAAACACAGTATATTTCATTTATATTAAAACTGTACACTGAATTATTAAAAACTCATTATGTGCCATCAATTCAGGGTTGACTCTTTGCAACCACATAGACAGATTTTCTCCATGACAACCTGTCTCTAACCTGGTCCTTCAGGTCTTCCAACAATGTACTATCACCACTGTAACTGAGCCCATCCACCTTGCTGCTGGTCGTCGTCCTCTTCTCTTCCTTCCACCTTTCCCAGCCTTAGAGCCTTTTTCAGAGAGCTCGGTTTTGCATAATATGTCCTAAGTAGGATAATCTGAGCCTGGTCATTTGTGCCTTGAGTGAGAACTCTGAGTTGATTTGTTGGTTGATCCACGGTATTCTCAGGTGTCTTCTCCAATACCATATTTAAAAGGCATCAATACTCTTCCTATCCTGCTTCTTTAAAGTCCAACATTTGCTTCCACAGAGTGTCACAGGGAATACCATGGCTTGCATGATTCTGACCTTTGTAGGTATAGATGCATCACAAGATCTGAATGATCTTTTCCAAGGCCTTCATGGCTGCTCTACAGAGTGCTAGTCTGCAATGTATTTCTTGACTGTCCCTTTACTGTTGATAGTTGATCCTAAAAGGCAGAAGCTATCCACCACTTCAACATCTTCATTGTCAATTCTAAGCCTGGTTGTTCTACCTGTTGTCATTACTTTGGTATTCTTTATATTTAATTTTAGTCCAATTTTTTCACCATGCACTTAGTACTAAGACTTGCAGATATTTTACATTTTCAGCTATCAGGGTAGTGTCATCAGCATAGCACAGGTTATTGTTGTTTCTTCCTCCAAATTTAAAACCACACTCATTTTCTTCCAGTCCAGCTTCCCTTAATATATATTCAGCATATAGGTTGAATAAATAAGAGGAGAGTATACAGCCTTGTTTCATTCCTTTGCCAACCTGGAGCCAGTCTGTTTCATCATGATCTGTCCATACTGTGGTCTCCTGACCTGTAAATAAGTTTCTCATGGGACAATGAGATGTTCTGGGATTCCCATTTTTCTGAGCTCTTTCTACAGCTAGATGTGATCGACACAATCAAATGCCTTTACATAAGCAATGAAGCACATACTGACTTCTTTTTGGTATTCTTTGGCTTTCTCAATTATCTAATGTGCATCACCAATAATGACTTATGTTCCTTGCCTTTTTCTAAAGCTAGCTTAAACATCTGGCATCTCTTTTTCCATTCAGGGCTCTAATCTGTGTTGGATTATTTTGCTAGCATGTGATATTAAGGATATTGTTGGTAGTTTGCACACTCTATTTAAAGTCTCCTTTTTTCGGTACTGAAATGTAGACTGACGTCTTCTAATCAGCTGACTATGTCGTTGTCCAGATTTACTATCTTAGCTTGGTTAGAACCTTGACTGATTCTTCTTCGGTTGCTTGCCATATTTCAGTGGGTATTCCATCAGTTCCTGCAGTCTTATGACTTGGTAATGATTGGAGTGCTGATCTAACTTCATCTTCTAGTACTAGAGGTTTTTGTAAATAAGGAATACCTTCTAATGTTGACATCTCTACTGTATAGTGTTTCACTATACTCCTTCCATCTTCCTTTGATTTCCTTTGAATCGGTTACTATCTGTCCAGGGACCTCCTTTAGCATACCAATTTGAGGTTGGAACATATGTTGTTGTAATACTGTTTCTTGTCTCTTCTAACAGCTCCCTGAAACTCTTCAGTTCCTTTCTGAGATTTTTCTCCTTCTTGGCTTTGACTTCTCTTCTCTTCTTGGCAGTTTCCATGGTTTGTTCTGACATCGTTTGCTTTCTTCTCTCTCTCCATGTTTGGCAGTCTCTTTTCACATTCATCCTTAACGACTTCTTTTAAGTTTATTCCATAATTCCTCTGGTTCTCTATCAATGAAATTCAGGACTTCAAAGTGATTCCTGATGTTCTCCTTAAAAATAGTGTGTATATGTTCAATATTATAATCGTGGAAAATGACAGGCTTTCTTCTTCTTCAGTTTAACTTGGAGCTTGCACATGAGCAGTTCATGTCTTTGATGTTATAACTGAGTTCCTCCACCTCCTTTTAGCCATAATATAGTCAATTTGCTGTCTGTATACTCCATCTGGTGATGTCCATATATAGAGGCACTGTTTTGGTTGTTTGAACACAGTGTTAGCTATGAAGAAATCATTGGAGTGGCAGAAACTGGTAAGTCTCCTGCTTCATTTCAATTTCCTAACTGAAAGATTGTATTGTTCCATACAATCCAACTACATTTTCATGTTTCCAACTCTGGTATTCCAGTCTCCAATCACAGCAGCACATCTTGCTTGCATGTTCTGTTGATTTCAAATTGAACTTGATCATAAAAGTCATTAACATCCTCTTCTTCTCCTCAGTGGTTGGAGCACAAACCTGAATGAATGCCATATTAAAGGGTTCTCCACGAAGTCTAATCAATATTATGCAGCCATTGATTGCATTGTAGCTAAGTCCTGTTCTTGCTATACTCTTCCTAACTATAAAAGCAATTAAAAGAAAAAGCTCCCTTCCGTTTGATGATAATGATGGATTTTCTATGAGTTTTTAATTGTATATATGGATAGCAAATATAAAATTAAAAACTCATAGAAAATCCAGAAAAATAATAGAGAAGGGAGCTTTGGATAATTAATCCAACCTTCTCATTATGTAAACTGAAATTACAATTCTTGCTGATCAATCTTTATTTTAGATAAGTAATAAGTAATACTGATACTCATTAAAGAGTTTTTTAAGAATCTGCCAAGGGCACTAAATGTATTGCATCCAAGCTGAGTGAAATGCTATGTCAGAGGACCAGTGACTGACTTCTTATTAAACCATATTCTTACTCATAATATCTGGCTCAACAGTCTCTGTTCTGTAAAAAAAAAATAAAAATTCAAATGCCAAATTTATACATATTAGTAACATTCCATTAGCTATCTGAAAATTCAATGAGAAGACTGTCTTGCATGGAAAGCTCTGGGCGAAACAGCTCTCCGTAGAGGCCGGCAATTTCCATCAGAATCTCATTTGAAGCCACTTCATCATGTTAGCGTCCCATGCTCAACAGCTGGCATATTGTTTTTTATATGTATAAGTAACATATTCGTTTGCCTTGTGCAATCTGTTAACCAGACTAAAATACACATAAAGAGTTCTTTAAAATTAAAATTGGGCAGTTACTTTGGGTTACTGTCACAGTGACAACAAACACTGATTTACTACTAGATACTCCACTGTAACTTCTTAATATACAATTATATACTAGCTGCTAAAGAAAAAGATACTATGAACAGGTTATACTGTGAATGTAATTACTTCTGTCTTCTGGGGTGAAATAAGAGATCAATCAATATACTCTATACTCCATATATATTTTAAAGAAATGTGGGACATCTTATATTTTGTTACTGTATTGTGTGAGTAAAGGACATAAGCAATGTAAACTTTATAATAGTAAGCATTCTGACAGTGAACGTAACGTGGAAATAATCTACAATATGAAAGCAAGATGTAAATATACCCCTGGTTTCTTAATTGGTAACCATGACTAGTAATGTAACAATGTAAAACTATACAACTAACATTAACATCATACTGGTAGCAGAATATGCACTGCACAACACAGACTCTTCCCTCATTCTGATACTCACCTTGGAGGCAGAACAGGGTCATTCTTGAATGGCTGTATCAAGCTAGGCTGTTCCGGTTCCTATTGGGGCATTAAATATTATTAGTACTATTTGGAGCAAAAAAAAAAAGGGGGGGGGTTAGAATTGTTATGATTACTTCAAAGGAAAATGCCAGATAAGAAAAGAACTGGCAATTGCCTGGACAAGCCTTGGCAACGTTTTTTGGAGGTGTTTTGCCACAGCCTTCTTCCTAGGTCTGTGAGAGAGTGACTGGCCCCAACTCACCCAGCTGTCTTCATGATTAAGGTAGGACTAGAACTCTCAGTTTCCTGGTATGTAGCTTGGTGCTTTTAACCATTACACCAGACTTGTTCTTGTGTACATACAGGTAGTTCTCAAGTTATGACTGCAACTGGGACCGGAATTTCCATCACTAAGCGATGTGGCCATAAAATACAATGTCACATAACCACATTACTTAGTGACAGCAATCCCTGTAGTCCCTGTTGCGATCGTTAAGCAAGGATTGTGGGTCATTAAGCAAGCAGCTCTTCGCAACTTCTTGCCAGCTTCCAACAACCAACGTCAGTGAGGAAGCCGGCAGGAAGTTGCAAATCCCAGGCTGCTTGCAAGCAGGCTGGCAGGCAGCTAAGTGTCTGCTGCCAGGAAGGAGAGGGAGCAAGGGATACATGGGTGGCCAGGGAGGCATGGTGCAAGCATGGTGTGGCTTGGGATGGCTACTGCCAAGTGGGGGAGAATGCACAAGGGTGTGTGAGTGGTCAGGGAGGCCTGGCACAAGCACAGCAAGGCTTGGGGAGGATGTGTGGGTGGCAGGGGGAGTGCACCACGAGTGCAATGGGGCTTGGGGACGGTACGTGAGTGGCCAGGGAGGTGTGACATGAGTAGAGTGTGTGAGGGAGCATGGGTGGTGGGGGAGGCACAGTGTGAGCACAGCAGCCCTTGGGGTGGATGCTGCCAGATTGGGGAGGGTGTGTAAGGGTGCACAACTGGCCAGGGAGGCAAAGAGTGAGTGCAGCAAGGCTTGGGGAGGGTGGACGAGTGGCCAGGTAGGCATGGTACAAGTGCAAGGCTCAGGGAGGGTAAGGGTGTGCAGATGACGGAGGTGGTGTGTAAGGGTGCACAAGTGGCTGGAGAGAGTGTGTGAAGGTGTGCGAGTGGCTGGGGAGGTGCAAAAATGACCAAGGAAGTGCAGGGCAAGCACAGCAAGGCTTAGAGAGGTTGTGCAAGGGTGTGCAGGTAGCTGGTGAGGCATGGTGCAAGCGCAGAGGGGCTGGGTGAGGGTGCACAGGTGGAAGAGATTTACCAGAGCAACTTGCAACCTTCCCTGCCACCTTCCCCATTGACTTTCCTTGTGGGAAGCCAGCAGGGAAGGTCAGAAATCATGATCATGTGAATGCGGGACACAGCAACCAAGCACCCAGATTGTGATCACATGACCATGGGGGTGCTGGGACAGCTGGAACTTCAAGAAGCGGTCATAACCAATACTCATTCAGTGCTGTTGTAATTTCAAACAGTTGCTAAATGAATGGTTGTTAACTGAGGACTACCTGTATGTGTGAATGTATGTTTGTGTATGTGTGTATGTCTGTGTATCTGTATCTAGATCTAGATCTAGCTCTAAATTGCTGTAACATTTTTGTGTGTGTGAAAGTAACTTCTCCCTTACACGTTATAGATAGGCTTCTGAGGGACAGTAGTAGTCAAGAACCTGAAAGGAAATTCCAAGCTTCAGGCAAATGTCCTGCTATTGAGGAGGTATAGATAGAGAATTCAGCCTTGATTTATCCTTACCCAAAAGTAAGAGCTATGTTTACGTTTAGCCAGAAGTGAAAAGCTTCTTGCTGGAGAAGAATGTTTAGTGACAATTTTCTCCAATAGTTCCTACCTACAGCAGTCCCAGGGTCAGCCCCCTCACTCACACACATACTGTACAAGAGGGTTCCCCAATGCTTCAGTAAAGCATGGAAGTGGTGTTGTAGGTTACAACAGGGGATTTGAGTGAACTGCTTCTGTGTTCCCTTCCTTCAGTAGGTCCCTTCCTGTAGGAGCTGCACAATTTCATTAAGGTGACATCTGTACCCAAACACAGTAACTATTGTACAATCTTGAGAGATCTCCATTCAATTCCTCCAATATAAAGTAACCAAATTTTCAAAACAAATATTATATTGCTAGTCATAATATAAACCACCTCTAAGAACTCTCTTTGAACTCCTTTTTCCTAGCTGGAATGATGCCATAGCATACTATGATTCTAGCTCCATTGTCTTCAGCAGACATTTCTTTTTTGCGGACAAAACAAGAAGAAATTTACTCTCCTGGTCCTTTTTCATACTCAAGCAAAATAAAGTCCTGGGTATGGTTGTTTTTCCATTAACCAAGCTATGTTTTGCATTCTATGTTTTATCAATTGTCCTTATTATCAATGGCTTCATTACTTCCTCCCATAAATTTTTCTCATTAATGTACATACACACATAGATCAAATAAAAGGTTAAGATTAATGTGTTATTTAATTGTTGAATAACACAGAATAACTATTTGAGAATAAAATATTGCTACTGTCCTTGGAAGAATTCCTTATTAGGAAAAAAACTATCACTACATTCTTTCCTATAGGACTGGCTTTAGTTGGTATGCTGGGAGAGAGAAGAAAAAGGCAGAGGGTCTTATTTTCTAAAGAGAGATTGGAACTAGTTAATATAAATCAGGTGGAAAAAAATCTCTTGACAGAGCTTTGGAAATTACTGAACATTTCAGTGATTGCAACTGCTGATATGCAGAACCAGGAAACTACAAAAGACAGGACTGTGTTTTTCTACCAAAAAATATACCCTTATATGTCAACTCACAATGAAAGCTCAGTAATTTCCCTGAATTAAAAACTGGAGCCAGCACCAGGTTTTATAGGTCCTGGAAAGCAGTGTTAAGAAAAGGCACAGGAAGAATACCAATCAGATGCAGCGCAGTTATCAGTTATTTTAATTTTCTCCCGATCCTAGTACCTGTTGCCTTGGTGCATAGCGATGCTAAATTCAAGACACAGAATAAGATTAAAGAGATTATTCTTTTTCTTTGTAACTTGAGTACTTTCAGTGCCAAGCAACTAGAAAACAATCTTAAATAATCCTATACAGTCCAATGCGGTATCTGCCGAGCTCTCTTGTCCTTCTGAATTTTTCCCCTTTACACTCAGTGTTCAACGAACTCTGAACGATCTCAGTAAGAAAAATGAACACTCTGTTTAATGTTTCTGAAGTATCTCATACATGTTTTAATAGACCTGTCCCTTGTTTGTTGCAGCTTCTTGGAGCTTTTTTCAGCATTAGCTGGAAAGGGACAGAATGAATTCTTTAAGAATGGGTCCATTTGGCTAATGAATGCAAATAAGTACAGTGGGGCAAAAAAGTATTTAGTCAGCCACCAATTGTGCAAGTTCTCCCACTTAAAAAGATGA